ATGGCAGACATCTGCGCTCTACAGCACTCATTTCTGCATTATTTGAGCTTTTTTTTACAATGAGCTTGGGTTATTTTTATTATTAGGAAAAAATAAATACTTTCAGGTGGAATGTGAAAATAATGAACACATTTTTACATTAAAATAATCTCACGGACTGTTTTTAACTACTAAGAATGTGGAAATTTCACAGTGTCTCTCCAAATTATAAGTAGAATGATTACCCATTTTGCCCCAAAATAGTCTCTCTTAGCATCGACTTTTAAACCCATATCCCTGGAACAGCATGGCATTTTATGCACTGATGCCAGAAATAAATATTCTAAACACAGATTCACAGTTGTAATGAAGCAAAGAGGTGGTGGTTGTAGACAAGGACACCGAACAGAGTTGTAAAAACATTTTAAAAAGTTCCTGTGTAATCATTAAAAAGCAATTTGAGTGGCCATATAGAATCCAATTTTTAAAAATATTTACAAGTTTTAAGACAACCTTCTTTTTTTTAGATTGGCACCTGAGCTAACAACTGTTGCCAATCTTCTTTTATTTTTTTTCTGCTTGTTCTCCCCAAGTCCCCCCAGTACATAGTTGTATATTTTAGTTGTGAGTCCTAGTTGTGGCATTTGGGACGCCGCCTCAGCATGGCCCGACGAGCGGTGCCATGTCCGCGCCCAGGATCCGAACCGCTGCAGCAGAACGTGCGAACTTACCCACTCAGCCACAGGGCCGGCCTCAGGACAACCACTTGAAAAAAGATTTTTTTTTTTTAAGATTTTATTTTTTTCCTTTTTCTCCCCAAAGCCCCCCAGTACATAGTTGTATATTCTTCGTTGTGGGTCCTTCTAGTTGTGGTATGTGGGACGCTGCCTCAGCGTGGTTTGATGAGCAGTGCCATGTCTGCACCCAGGATTTGAACCAACGAAACACTGGGCCGCCTGCAGCGGAGCGTGTGAACTTAACCACTCGGCCACGGGGCCAGCCCCAAAAAAGATTTTTTTAATTTTCCCTTTTCTTGAGGGAGGGGAATGCTCTTTTAAATCTTTTTGTTTTACTATGAACACATGATCATAGTAAAATAAGAATTCACATGCAATATAAACCAAAAACTAAGAATCCTCTACTCCTCTCATCCCCAATGAAATGACAGTTAATGATGTCTTGTGTTTTCCACAAGAAAATAAATTTTTTTTAATAGGCGAAGACTTGCCTGTTATGGGGCCCAAAGGGTCTTCAGGGGTGGCAGCTGTCCAGGTACACTCAGGCCATGACCATTTATCAAGGAGTGCCCTTTTCTGTATGTATATTTCAATAACAAGGTTAAAAATTGGAGACCAGAGGAGAAGCAAAGTCATTTGAAACTAAGAGTAGAAAGAGAAGCAAATACCTGACCAGCAAGACCTGAATAGTTTACAACTAGAGTTAGAAGGTGTCATCTTCCAGAGAGAAACAAGTTTGAAAAAAGTATCAGCACTCCTGGAGACTAGAGAAATGACAGATATACTGTTGCATTAACATTTTCCAGATAAGAATTCTTTTCAACGCCGAACAGAGGGGGACAATTATCCACAGACTATTTTATAAAATGAAATTGCTTTCTTCTCACAGTTATTTTCAAGATGGGCTCAAATTTCAATACTCTGCTGCCCAAATAGATTCTATTTCAAGAATGCAGGAAACAAAAAAGAGGAACACAATCTGATTTTTAATAGTATTAACTATCCAAAAAGAAATAGAACTAGAAGAATTTCTTTTTTTAATGTGGTCTCTTAAAGATGACAAAAATACCTTTCTTGGGTTTTCCTGTAGAAACAACGACTTTACCAAACATTTGTTCTGTGTCCCTTGTCCACAACTACCTCCTCTTTGCTTCTTCACAACTGTGAATCTGTGTTTAGAACGTTTATTCCTGGCATCAGTGCACACAATGCCATGCTATTCCAAGGGTATGGTCGCTAAGAGAGTCTATTTTGGGGCAAAATGGGTAATCATTCTACTTATAATTTGAAGAGATATTTAAAAATCTCTACTTTGTCACACTCATAGGTAGTTCCCGCCATCATTGTTTAGAATGTTTGTTTCCTCCCTGCCACATGGGCCCTGCATGAGCTGGAGGGTGGTCTCAAGTGAAGCGGTGTGGAGTCTGAGATGCTGACCAGACGAAACCAGGGACTGACCCTCATTTACTGCTACTCCCTCCTCTACCTGACCATCTCAGCTTGGTGCTGTGGCCACCTCAAGGTGACTGTCATGCTTCTGCCAGCCTCCACAGCTGGGCACTTAGGCTCCATGGAGCACTGGTTCAACTGTTGACATGGACCCCAAACCACCTCCTGCAGAAAGCTCTGGCTCCCTGTTCAGACTCCCTTCCTATCACGCCACAGGCACTGAGCAAATGCCTTAAGGTTTGTAGCAGAATATTAACCCTACTGTATGCTTACTGGGTTTACAAACACATAGGTCTCTCTTTAATCAGCAGTGTACGACATCTGGGCTTCAAATAACCCTGCACTCCTGCAGGCCAGCTCCTATCAAAGTTCATGCTAAAAAGAATGATATTTAGGAAAGGAGTCCAGATCCCGGAGTTATCAAAGGCACTTACAAATATGTGCTGAATCAAATCCAGTATTTGAACTTAGCCAGAAAGAGCCCCAGGAGTTCCAGCATCATTTTGCAAATCGTTTTACTTGAAAGCACTGCACATGGACATAAGCAGGATCAACTCTGATACGGAGTCTACACTCCAGGCTGGCTTTCTGCCAACGAGGAACTGAAATGGATAAACCACGAGGGCTCTGTGGATTCCTTCCAGAAAGAGATGTCGAGGGAAATGATGGAGGTAAGATCTACAGATGGAGGAGCCACCACTTAACAGAAAACATTGCCTGATAAGCAGTCAGCTTTCTATTCAGGTAAGAGAGCTGTCACCAACGAAGTGGGACTTGTGGGCTATTTCAGCAGAGCAAAGACATGCACTGTCCTGAATTTCGAGCTCTGAGGATTCCTCTCTACACTGTGTTCCCTGTGGTTGCTGTAGTGTCATGATGCTGTATCAACCTGGTCTAAACACATCTCAGGCTGCCAGAAGCCACACTGCTGCTAACAGGTACACTGACGCTTGGACAGTCTCCAGGACACAGTATCAATCAGCAGCGACAGCATTATCCTTTTCAGTCTCCTTTCAGGTCTAAGTATCTTTTATTTCTCAAATCTCCTAACATCCAGGAATTTTCTTCCATCCCAGACAGAGGCATGCTGTTGCTAAGCAACTTCAACAAGTCATATCTGAAGTCTATGAGTGGGTGTGGTTAAAATAAATAAAGTCACTGCAAGTTACAACTGGGAGAGGCTAAAGATAGACACACACAGACCTTTTAAAAAAGTGTCTGTATTTTTTATTCTGGCTTGTTGATACCAGACTATGCCTTGACTTTGTTACCTTCAGGTTTTAAGCGCCCTCACAGACATCCAGTGCAAGCTCAGTGGGATGGAACTCCAGCAAACCATGGCCCAATGGAGAAGGAACTCACGCACAGTGCACTCTCAAAGAGCCAATTTGCACATTAATTCTGATGGCTGCAAAATCCTAGAATAGGTGAGATGAAGACCTATGTGCACTGCCATGATGATCCATCCATTTGGAAAGATGACTGGGACTCATATTCCAGCCACCTTTGAGTTTCAGCAATTCAGGGTGTGTGTGTGTGCGTGCACATGTGTGTGAGAGAAAGAATCTTTTTTTTTTTTTTTCTGCTTCAGCCTCTTTTAATTCAATGCTGTTCAAGACTCCCCTTCCTCCTGCCTCGCAGGCCAATACTATTGGCCAAAGAACTTCTCAAACTTATCTCTACATCACAAAGTACTACAGGGATTGTGGTATCTCTACTCAAGGCCAGGAATCACGTAACTTTCCGGGTTCAGTCAGTTAAGCATTAACTAGAGGTTTTCTGCCTTCAGCGTTCTGGCAAAACATCGGCAACCTTCAATGCTCTCTCCAATTCCAACACTTCAATTAACAAGCACTCCTGGTACTACTGTGTGGGGCTGTGATCCTCTTCCTTCAGGACAAACGAGTAACAAAATCATAGGGCTCAAGGACTCGGCAAGTGAAAACAGATCAATGAAGCAGCCAATGTCCACATTTATTGCAGAGTTAAATCCTTGCCTCGTCGCCAGGTCCTGGCCTCCATCACCTGCTGGGGCACACAGATATTTGTTGCTGGTGGTCCAGAGAAGGCCCACAGCCTCTCTGAAAATTCTCCCAGGGGGACAAACCACAAAAGCTATAGATTCCCTCTCTTTCTTGGGAAGTGCCCAATTCGGCGGAGGAGGTGAGAGTTGGTGCAGGCTCTGCATTGTCAGTAAACTATCAGAAACGTAAGGAACTGATTTGTCCTCATACCAAAATGTACAGCTGAAGACGACGCGGAGACGACCAAGCCACAGGCCCCGGCTTTCAGGAGTTCGTAGGCGGGCAGACAACTACAATCCGCGCAACAAGTACCAAAGCCGCGGCCAAGCCGGGACAGGCGGCGACAAAGCGCTGAACTGAGCGAAGGCCAGACCCCTCGCCCCGAGCGGGACTCGGCGGGAGCGAGGGGCACGCTGCCCTCTGGTTCCAAACTCCCCACCAACTCGTCCCGGGGCCTGGCACCGAGGCGCCCCAGGCAGAAGGGCCGGCGCCCACCGAACGCTGAGACCCGCGCCCCTCTGCACCCCGGGGTCCGGGGCCGCTGCCCGCCTCGCCCCCGGCCGGCGCGAGCCCCGGGGCCGGCCCGGCCTGAAGCCCCGCGGAGACGTCCGGGCTCCGGCTGGCGTGGCCGCCCCCCGGCCTCCAGCGACCGGCCCGGCCGTCCCTTGCCCAGCCAGGGCCACCTCAGGGCCCCCGGCCCGGCCCCCGAGACCCCGCCCGCCCCGGCCCGAGCTGCCGCCTCCCGGCGTCCGGCCTCCGCCCCCGGCCGGGCCCGGCATCCTCCCCGCAGGCCCGAGTCGCGGGGCCTCACCTCGGGCGGGAGCCGGCGGCAGCGGACGACGCCGTGGGGCTCAGCGCATCCTGGGGTCGCCGGGAGCCGGGAAGTGGGGCCGCGCGGAGCCCGCAACGAGTTATGTAACCGGCAGGGGCCGCAGCCCGGACGGAGGCGGCGGCCCGCGGCACTTCCGCCTCCCGCGCCGGGCCGGAGGCGCAGACCGGAAGCCCATTGGCCGCCGGCCCCCACGTGGGGCACCGCCCCCCGACGCCGACGCCGCCATCTTAGGAGCGGGCAGCCTGGCTGGGACCGCGGGTGGAGAGGCGGGGACCACGGCGGTGGGGCCGGGAGCGCGTGTGCTGCTGAGGCTCGGAGAGCCGGCGAAGGCGCCGAGCTAAGGCGGGCTGGCACCTGAGCGCCCCGAGTCTGCGGGCCTGGACGCGGGTGGCGCGGCCCCGGCTGGGAGCCCGCCAGCTCAAGTTCTTTGGCCTTGGCTGAGCGCCCCAAGCGCGGAAGGCGGGCTCCCCAAAACGAGGATCGCTCATAGCCCTCCAGGTCTCGGCCAGCACTCCCATCGTTTGGGTCTGGGGCTTGGGCATGTCCTGGTGTCGAGCCAGGGGAGCGTGACGGAGTGACCCAAGCCGGGCTCGCGGGCAGCACCACCCGGCTCCGCAGAAAGACCGTTGAGGGCTGTCGCTGTGTAAATGGGCAGAGGTCAGTTGCCCTAACGTTGTAGGAGCGTCTATATCATAAGATCTAACTCAAATTTCGTTGCTAGGGAACCTGTGTTGAGCAAAATCTGATAACTTTAAAGCAGGAATTTATTCCTTGCTTTCAAATAACTTACAATGGTCCACATAACCAAAGGATGGAATAAGGACCTGCTTACAGCCAAAGGCCAGAATGATCAACCCTAAAAGGATTTAATTCATATCCAAGAGAATAAACATTATCACAGATTAAAAGTCTAAATAACGCTATCTTAGAAACGTTAAAAGCATATTATTTTGGGGCCTGCTGGTGGTGCAGCAGTAAAGTTTGCATGCTCTGCTTGGTCAGCCTAGTGTTTGCTGGTTTAGATCACAGGTGCAGACCTACACACCGCTTGTCAAGCCATGCTGTGGCAGCGTCCCACATATAAAGCAGAGGAAGATGGGGACGGATGTTAGCTCAGGGCCAATCTTCCTCAGCAAAAAGAGGAGGCTTGACAGAGGATGTTAGCTGAGAGCTAATCTTCTTAAAAAAAAAAAAAAAAGCATATTCTTTTCAATAACCTCTTGACAAGGAAAGTTACCTAAAGAGATTAGAAATTTTGAAGGTAATTGGTATAAATAGATCAAGAGTAGTGTAACAAGGCAATATAAAACAAGGATAATCTATTGTCTATGTAATATGATGTGTAGTGGCTGGTGGAATCTTGATTTGTGTAAAGCAACCTGTATTTATATTTCCTTTTTTATAACAGTTTCTGTAAGTGCCTATTTTTTTTTTTAAAACAGGCTGAAAAATCATTTGGACAAAATGGAAATCAATATTATACTATTTACAACTCCATAGAGTTACAGGTTTGAGTACTGCAAACATGCTATTGTAAGCAAAGATGCTGTAGTAAACCATGTTTGGGCCCATTCAGAACATTTTGAGCACTCTACACAATTATATTTAGTGTGTCATTATTAAATGATTTGTAATTAAACTCATTGCAAAAATCATTTAAGACTGAGTAGAAAGATCCACACAATACAGCAAGATAAATGAGGGTAGGACAGTCAAGAGTGAAGTTGGTGTGTAAAATGCATACTTTGAAGTGCTACATACTTTCTAGGGATGGGCTGCAAATTTAGCTCCAGTCTTTCCAGAATTCACGTTGAAGAGAACAACTGGTTACAAGATTTGGCAAGGTAGTGTGTCAGAGGTGGCTAATTGTCCCCTACTGTCCATTGTCCCACACTCCTCCTCTCCTTTTTCTACTTTTTCTTCTTCTCCTCCTCCTTTTTTAAAATAACTGCTTTATCATATCTTCCTGTCGTCACAGAATCCCACCCCCTATAGCAGGTAAATAGCTGTCAAGCTAGGCTTGTATTTCTTAGCTCCCTTGCAGCAAGGTGAGGCTGTATGCCAAAGTTTTCACCAATGTGCAAGAGTGAAAGTGATGTAGGCAACTTCTGTGTCATGTCCTTAGAAGGAAATTACTTAAAAGTTAACAACTGATGAAGCTAGGTGAAGGTGTTTACTGCGTTATTCTCTCAAATACTCAGAAGGTTTGAAGTTTTTAAAATAAAAAAGATGGAGTTAAAAAAAGGAAATTGCTTGCTTTCCTCGTCCTCGCTCTCCCCTTTCCCCATGTTCCCATCCATGGCACATGGGTGCAGTGGTAAGGCCCTCCAATCACACAGGAGAGGCAAAACCCTACCTACGTCCTTGCTACTCAAAGTGTGGTTTGTGGTCCAGGAGCATCAGCATCACCTGGGAGTTTGTTAAAAGTGCAGAACCTCCGGCCTCACCCAGATGGACAAATCAGAATTTGCATTTAACTAAGAATCTGCATTTAACAGGATCCCTAGGTGATTTATATGCACCTTAAAGTTGAGAAGCACTTACTAGATGATGACAGAGGAACAACTTTCTGTTGATTCCAGGGTCTCTGTATAACCATTTAAGATGAACTGTCAAAACTGAAAAGGGCAAATATATCCATTCAAACTTTAAAAACACTCTTTTTAAACCCAAATGAGAAAATAATAATGATAACTATTTTTCAGGACTTACTATGTGCCCTGGCAGCACATACACAGGATCTTATTCATCCTCAGGACAATTGTTTCAGTTAGGTACCATGTGTTACTACAAGGGATATTCAAGGTAGTCCTCCTCTTAAAATAATCCCACCCTCTCCCATTGTGTGCCGGGTGCTCCCTTGGCTCAGTGATTGGCTCAGATAACCAAGCAAGTGGGATGGGGTATCTCCTGGGCATAGGGAATGGTTCGGAAAGGTCTAATCAGCACCAAGCTCAGAACTGATTGGTCCTCCGAGTCTGCCTTCCTGGATTCTTTTTCTCTTTTTTTGATGTTTTGAGCTATTGCTTCCACTTGATCTAACAGACCACTGGCTTTGTGATGACCATCTTCTTCTTCAATTTAGCTACTGAACTTAAATTAAAAAACAAAACAAAAGCACACTTTTCTGTTCCAGAAAGTTCTGCTTGATCAACTCTCCTCCAGTCTTTGTATTTGGGTAAAGCTGTCATCTGTCTCCTCCGAAGTTCTGTTTCACCAGGAGCTGCCTATTCTCAGAGTTGCCTGCTTCTCCTCCTCTGGCTACAAGGTTTCTTCAGGCATATTTTTATTTTTCTCTTGCCTATTCATGACTCTGCACTCTTTGGCTATGGGTCAAGCAGAGACATACCTAGAGGCACTACCAGTGGGGAGAGCCAGCAGTCTGTACTCCTGCAGGCTAGCCATATTCCAAGCTGCCAAGCAGAGGCAGTCCTCCATGGAGCGCTTGAAGGGAGGCGCTCAATTCCTGTTTCCTCAGCTGCAAAACCCTCTCCCAGCCCCAGAGATAGAGAAGCAAAGGAAGCTACCAGCTACATGGGCAGGCTCTGCCCTTCCAGAGGCATGGCTTAATTACTCTGCTAATTATGGAAAGAAGGCATACTGTAACAAATAAGAATTAACATTCTCTGCAGTCCATGAATCTCCAAAGCCAAGATCTCTCCAGAAACTAAAGCATTTAAATGTTCACCTCTCCCCTCTGGTCTCCAGGCTCTCTTTCGGCCCATAGAGGAACAAAGTCAGGTACAGCTCTTTCATGCCAACCCTGGGTGACCCCTGTCCCCATGGCTGTACTCACCTATCTATCAGTAGATGGACCAGGGTTGGGGAGCGGGGAGAGCAGGGGCTGGTCATCAGGTTTCCCACCAATACCCAGACATTCAGGTTATAAACAGGATTGCAACTAACAACCTTGTACAGAAACCTACACACTTTTTGGATTATTTCCTTAGGAAAGAGTCCTAGAATGTTGCTTGAAATTATTTTTAATTGACCACGTTTTCAATTTGGAAACAAACCCCACATTGCCTGCCAGAAAGGTTTTACCAGTTTATTCTCACACCAAGAGTGAGAAGGTGTCTTTCCCACATGTCCTCACCAACATGGGGTGTTACCATCCCTTACCTCTCTGCAATCCAGGTGAAAAAGAGCTCATTGGTTTTATTTGGTTTAGTTTTTTGTGGGTTTTTTGGTTTGTTTTTTGAGGAATATTAGGCCTGAGCTATTATCTGCCACCAATCGTCCTCTTTTTGCTGAGGAAGACTGGCCCTGAGCTAACATCCATGCCCATCTTCCTCTACTTTATATGTGGGATACCTGCCACAGCATGGCTTGACAAGCAGTGCATAGGTCCGCATCCGGGTTCCAAACTAGCAAACCCTGGGCCACCGAAGCAGAACATGCAAACTTAATTGCTGTGCCACTGGGCTAGCCCCCCAATGTGATATTTTGATTTCGGTTTAACTTGGGGGGATTTTCTGACATAAACATGTTTTTAGAAGTATGCATGCACAAGTAAATTTTTAAAAACAGAGCAAAAGGATATATGGTGAAAAGTAAGTTTTCCTCTGACTCTGAGTGCCAGAGTTCTCCAGGTAACAACTGTTACCATTTTCTTGGTATCCTCTCAAAGCTCTTATTTACACAGACAAGCAATATGAGAGTTTCATAAATAAAAAGCAGTATGAGTGAGATATGGGCTGAGCTTGGATATTGGGTTCTTGTCCTTCCTTCTTCCCTCACTTCAAGAAAGCCGGGCACTATGCCAGCAGCTGTGGGTACAAATGGTGACTGAGATACATCCTCTGCCTTTGAAGAGATATGTGATTACAAGATGTTTTGATAAGGATTTCAGCGGAGGCATGCACACAGGACAACGGGACTTTCAGAATGGAATGAGTGAACGCATATTTGCTAAGGGTCTGCTATGTGCTATGCACTGCATTACAGTCCTTCCTGAATGTCCTCAATTACTTTCCCAGTGACCCTGAAAGGTATATATTGTTGTCCCCATTTTACAGAAGATGAGATACCCACCCAAGGCCTTTATACCATGTGGAATGAGGCTTCTCTCCCCAGGGACAGCCTGAGTGCCCACCTGGAAGAATGAAAGCCAGGAAAC